TTATGTGTGTTTATGTATTATCTAGTAATACGTATTGCAAGATTTTAAGCTTGTCCCTAGGATACTTTGTACCCTTTGGAGTTGATAACGTTATATTATGAGTGTATATTGAAATAAGTATAACTAAAATAATGATGTATGCAATATTAATTTAAGATGATAAACTTAATTCCTGTCGCTCGCTATTAGAGGATGTTGGCGAGTTTTGACGGTGAAGTCGTATGTCTTTTGTAGTTTAGATTGTTGAAAGTGATTCAATCCTCACAGATTAGATTTCTCGATGCCAAAGAGATTTTTCAATTGATTGAAAATGAACCGTGATAAGCTTTTTCCGATATGTGCTTCTTCATTACTTCGACTTAAAAAAACCGCAGCTGAAGCGCATCGCTTATTATCCGAAGTGTATGATGGTGAAACTCCATTGGAAGAACATGTAAAGTTTGGTTTAAATGTTCCCGAAATGGTAATTTGGAGACAAACAACATAAGAGAAAATGTCTAAGACAGCCGAAAAAATTTGAAGATGTTGAATTGCAAAAATTGCTCGATGAAAATCCAGCTCAAACGCTTTTAGAGTTGTCGAAAGCGTTAAATGTTATTCCAAAGGCTGTCTCAAAACGCTTACATGGGAAAGATTCATAAGGAAGGGAGATGGCTACCACATGAGATGTCAGAAAATGTCATTTTGAATCATTTGTCTATCGCGATTTCTTTGCCAGGCAAAGAAAAGAGAGTTTTTTGTGGCGCATCATGACTGGCGGTGAAAAATGGATTTATTTCATAAAAATAGATTTATTCCCAAGTGAAAAAAATCATGAGTGGACCTCAGTCGAAAAGGAATATTCACGAGCATAAGACCTTACTCTACATTTGATAGAACCAGGAAGATGTGCTTACGAGCTCTTGCGTCCAAATGAACCGTTACAGCTGATCTACGAACAGCAATTATGCCGATTGAGTGACGAGTTGATCTGTAGCAAAAAAGATCTGTAGCAAACAATCGACGAAAGTCATTTTGTTGCATGATAATGTTCGACCGCATGTTGTGTAAAACGTGAAGCAAACATTTTTATAACTTGAATAGGAAATCTTTCCGCATCCAGCGTACTCCCCAGACTTGGCACCGTCGAATAATCATCTCTTTCAATCGAATACGCACTTACGGACACACACTTCTCCAGTTATGAAGAAGTCCAAAAATAAGTAAATCGCGTTCTACCGTCGTGGGATTGTCCGGTCGCCGGAGAGATGGGAAAAAGTAATAGAAAATGGAAGAAATTATTTTGATTTTGATGAAGGTATTCATTCATCTTCCTTTCGAAACAAATCAATTTTAAAGACAAAAAAACGAAATTAAGTTCACCATCAATAATTATGTGTTAAAATGAATATGAATAGAGGGAACATTGGGGGAACATTAATAAAGCTATCGCCGCTTGGAAGACTCGCTAATAAAGACAAAATGTCATGTTTTATTTCACATGTTTTATTTTCAAAAACATTATTAATATTTTTTAAATTAAAGAAATATTATAAGAAAAAGAAATAGTTGGAAAACTGATATTGATTACAAGCAGGTAAAATTAAAGCTACAATATTTAATAATTATTTCGATAATAAGCAAATTGACTAAAAGACACATTAATAGAGACAGTCACCCAAGTATATTGAAACACGATATAAATGAGATTTTCTTGAACAGTATAATTTTTTGCTATTCTATGTAAAAATTAAATTAGAAACACATGATATTCTTTTAGGCTGCTTTTAGTGACAGCCTTATAAAAACTATTATATTCCATCTTCATATATCATTTATTATACATGTAAAACAAAGATTGAATGATGCAATAGCTCATTTCTCGAACACAGTTTTAGAAGTTAATATTACGAGAATATTACCACAATATTGCAGAAATACATTTCTGCATTGGATTTTTCGAACATTTAATATTGCAACAATATTTATTATTTAATATTGCAGCAATATTGATATATTATCATGTATTAGGTGTACAACTTTGCTTCCGCCGTTTTCCTATAGATGGCTTTAGCGGTAAGTGGTGGTCGAAATAAATAGATCATAGACGTCATATAATAAACTTGGGCATCTGTCAACATAACCCCATAGAAACATTAGTCGATTTGTGTCTGCATCATAAAGTTATTCTCGATTGAAAATGTCAGTTTACGAGCCAAATTCTCGTCATTTGCGGGAGGTTTTAATTTTTTGCTTCAATATGAAGAAATCTGCGGCTGAGGCTCATCGAATGCTCTCAAATACTTATGGTGAGGCTACTATTA